AAATAGAAAGATACAAGAAGCAGGACCCATGATACTCCAGCCTCCAGCAGTAGCTCCCCATTCAGGAGGAGGAAGCAGCCACGGGTAAGCCTTTTCCTGCCCCCCCTCACCAAGCACCGAGGCCTGAGTGGCTCCCAGCCGCCGGCCCGCCAAGCCTCCCCCCCAACAGCGGCAAGACAGTTCCCAGTGTGTTCTCTGCGCATGTGCAGGGAACGCTCTTTTACTTTTGGGCGGATTTAAGTATCCCCCGTATAGGGTTTTTTTTAGCTTTTCAGATTTTTCTGCACACCAAGTATGCAGGAAAATCTCTCTGCCTCCTATGTGCCCCCTTTGTACGGATTTAGATATCCGCACAGAGGGGGCAACTTGGCTATTAGATATATAGATCTTTTACTGGCCCACCTTAGGCTGGTGAGAGGGCATGGAATTTTTTCCTATTTCAGTATCAGACTAAGTAGATCCAATAAAAGATGAACCAAATTTATTTCATGGTTTATGTTGACCTGCTCTCCTGGAGAAAGATCAGCTTCTGCCTTTTCAGGTCACCCTGTTGGCCAGACAGGAGTCCAGGAGCCAAAGTGTTTTTGCCACATAAACCGACACGGTCATGAGTGACTTCATAATAAGGTTGGTGCTATTTTAGCAGCACCGCTTTAAAGATCCCAAAGAGAAAGGCAACACTTGGAACTTTTTTTTACTTAAAGCATTTTTAACCCACCTTTCTCTAACAGAAGACTCAAGGAGGGAGTTCTCATGAAACTACGGGCAAATTTTTATTATACATGCAATTAAAATGTGATAGGATTGTGAAAGGCCAGAGAGAATAGCTTCAGGGACTTGATATGCCTCACTGCATCCCTGTTATGTTGCAATAACAGTATTAAAAATGCAAATTTAGTGATTTCAGGTATACCAGGATGCCTTTCTTCACTGCTTCTATTGATGTCACTATACCATTTTTGTATGATCTTGAGCCAAAGCTGGAGGGGAAGACATGGATGCTGTCATTCAGAAGACTCCCCAGATGTAAAGAGTGTCAATGAGATGAAAAGCACGGGATAGACATGCCTAATCCAATACCCTTCTTGGAAGATTAATTATGAAAAAGAGCCCCAGCCCCTACGATACCGGATCAACACAATATAATAGATAAAAAAGTGAAAACGTTTTAATTTATTTTAAAACATTTTGATTTTTTAAACATAAAAAACAACACGATAGATAAAAAGGAAAACATTTAGGATTAATTACAATGGCAATATTTCGCTGTTTCAGTAAAAGGAAGAAACATCCACCTCTTTTTCTACATAGTCCAAACACTCTAGACGAGTCCAAGGAAGCTAATTTTAAGTTCAGATGTTGCAAACACCTTCTCCACTGCAGCATACTCACCCTCCAATTCCACATTTCCTTGCACAAGAGAAACGTTAAAGGCAATTAAAGCCTATAAATGCAGTCACATACTGTAAATGTTTCACAAGCACAAGCTTACATTTCCGAAATTTATTTCTTAACACAGTGATCATCCAGGGTCATTTCTCCCCCACCCCCCCGACATAGTCTACACATCTCAGTGGGCAATTAGAACTCTTGGATTCAAATGGGGGGGGGCATTCAAAATTTGGAGTTTTAGGCAGCCCCCTTTCTCCCTACTTGAGCTGGCTTCCAACAGCCAGTGGAGGAGAATGGTTTTATGTTGCTCATCTAGCCCTGAAGACAAAAATCACACAGCCAAGATTTCTTCCCAGGTTCTTTAAAAAATAAAAGTGGCATACAGGAAATAGAAATCAACCAGAAGCACCTTTCCACATGGGGCAAAAGCCAACAACAGCAAGAACACTGTTCCACCCATGAAATTACATGTATGCACACCAAGACAGGAGACATTAGGCTTTCTGGAAGTAAACAACAGAGAAGGCACTGCTGAAATAGTAAGAGGCAGTTGAGAAATTAGTCCTAAATAAACCCCACCCACCACCAACTGGGATCTAATAAAAATTCGTACTTTTTTGAGAACCTGCTTTCCCCTACATATTTCTATAAATACAAATGTCTTGTGTGGAGTGTTGTTCCAGTGTCCTAATTTTTTACTTGTGGTGTTTGTGTGTGTGTGTGTGTGGGGGGGGTTGATGAGAGTGTCAAGTACCTGATGGGAAGCAGCGGATTAAAAGTGAAGAATTCTATTGAGGTCTTTTTCCAACTCTAGACTGTGCCTCCCCGACCTGGACCGTCCCGGTTAGCCCAATCTCATCAGATCTCAGAAGTTAAGCAGGGTCGGCCCTAGTTAGTATTTGGATGGGAGACCTCCAAGGAAGGCAAAGGCAAAACACCTGTTAGACTCTTGCCTTGAAAACTCTACGGGGTGGCCATAAGTCAACTGAGACCTGACAGCGCTTCACACACAGAGAGACTGAGCCTTCCTTGTATCAGAGGGATTGTCACTTTGTCACTTTCCCTATGCTGTTGGAATAGGGTTGCCAAGTCCATCTTCCACCCCCAGCGGGGGACTTTGGGGGCATTCCTGGAGGGGGCGGGGCATCCCCGACGTGATGACGTCACGTTGGGGACGTCCGCCACCCCCCCCCGCGTGCCGGATCTCCAGAAACGGCAGTTCCCTGCACTTAAAGGAGCCGGTGTTTCCCTTTTAAATGCAGGAGCCAGCGTTTCCCCTCTAAGAGCAGCCGCGTTTCCCTTTTAAGTGCACGAAGCTGGCATTTCCCTGCAAGCCTCATCTCAAGCGGAGATTGGGCTTGAGAGGAAACACGGGCTTGGGAGGAAACACGGGTTCCACACACTCAAAGGGAGAGAGAGGGGTGGCTGTGGGTGTTGGGGGCAGGGCTTCCCCCTCCGGCCATCTGGCCGGCGACAGGTAGAACCCCCCCCCAAAATGGGGGACCCCTGGCAAACCGGGGGGTTTGGCAACCCTATGTTGGAAACACAACTCTTTCCTCCTTATACATTACTGAACATTTTCCAGTTGATCCTGATAACTGATTCATACAAGGACTCTCAGTTTGAGAGACCTGGTCCACACGGAGGTAATTAGTATAACACTGTCTAGATATTTAATTCTCATCAAATAATCACTCTTTAACTGGCATACAAATTCTAACTGAGGGCCAGTTTGGTGTAGTGGTTAAGTGCACGGACTCTAATCCGGGAGAACCGGGTTTGATTTCCCACTCCTCCACTTGCACCTGGCTGGATGACCTTGAGCAAGCCATAGTTCTGACAAGAGCTGTTCTTGAAAAAGAACAGTTTATGTCAGAGCTCTCTCAGCCCCACCTACCTCACAGGGTGTCTGTTGTGGGGAGGGGAAGGGAAAGGAGTTTGTAAGCCGCTCTGAGACTCCTCTGGGTAGTGAAGGGCGGGGTATAAATCCAATCTTCTCTTCTTCTTCTTCTTCTTCTAACTGAATCATATGAAGAAGCCAGAATAATCTAAACTGCCACGGTGGACTAAAATGTGCATATGGCAATGCCACGGTGGACTAACTCATGTGGCAATGCCGATCAAAAGAATGAGCTACAGTTTCTGAGTGGCAAACAAATTTCAATGTTTTGGCAGTTGTTTTTCCCTATCGATTTGCACTCCGTCTGACTTTTCGGCACCCTACTAGCAGCCTCAACCACCTAAAATATATTAAAACTTGCCCAAGTCCATTTCCTTCCTCAGTGTTTTTGGAGATCACTGCATTAAAAATTAAACGCTGGACATTCCTTTCATGTTATTCCTAATGCTTACCTGACAGGGCATCCTGGGCTTCAAAAAAGGTACTGAGACCCCCTTTGACGTAAGCCAGACTTCCCTCATTTTTCTTGTTGGCTTGTTTCTTCAGATGCATTACTGCCATTTTGAGCTGATCAAAACTGAAAGTGGGGGTGGGGGCGGGGGAAAAACAGGTGGTATTTCTCCAGTAAACATGGGATTAAACAGTAAATATCAAGCCCTCAAAGATCACACATTTAGAAACAGTAGGACAACAGTCTGCTAGACTTTCATTTCTCTCAATTACAGCAGCTTCCTGCTCAGGTTGAAAGCATACCTATCGGGTTTGCCAACCTGTGAAGAAACCTGTAAATTATCAGGCCATCATGTGACAGTACAACCACATACGAATAACATGGCTCTGTGAATTCACTTCTAGAAACATTTGGAAGCAATAAGAAAAACGAAGGCAAGATAAGGATGTTTACGCAACAATTGGGAATAGCTGGGTTCCCCCCCCCCAAGTAAAAAAAAATACCCATATTCAATTTATCTTATATGAAAGTAAGACACAGGGTAATGAACAGTCGATTAACTTTTTTAAAATGACTAGACTGCAAACATTTTAAAAAAATAATTAGAAAGAAATTCTCCATTCAGAAAGGAGGACTGGGGGAAAACCCCAAAACAGATTAACAAAATCACCTTTGGTTGCATGATAGATAACAACAAACCCAGATGCCATTCATACATATCTTTCATCTCAAGGTTGCTGTTACTAGTCTGAAACAATAATTAGATCTTTGCCTTTAAAGATTTTGGTTTTCTGCCCTTGTACTTTTGTTTATTCTTGTCAGAATGACAAATGTTCTTGGTTCAGCACACATGCCAAGATGAGGGATATTCAATTTAAATAAGTAAATATATAATAATGAACTCTGACTAAGAATTATGGCTACTGTCTACAGGATCAGATTATATGCAACAAAAGGAAGAAACAGTTCTGCTGTTTCAAATATGAACGAATGGTTACCACACTGTAACGGTGATGGGAAAAGCGCCATCTCTGATATATGTATCAGTGGCAGTAACTTTTTGTTGTTCTCAAGTCACAGCTGACTTATGGGAATCCCATGGGGTTTTCAAGACAGGAGACATTAGGCTTGCCAAGTCCCCCCGGGGGGAGGGGAAACCCCTGCCCCAGAGGCAGGTTCCCTGCCGCTGGCGGATTGGGCCCCAGGGGGAACCCCACCCCGACGTGCGCGTCACACGGAAGTGACGCGACCACGCCGGGCACACTGGGGGCGGGGCCACGGTCATCCGAGGGAAAACTCTATGGTCGTGGCCCTGCCCCTAGCATGCCCGGCGGCGTCACGTCCCTTCCGGGTGACGTGCGCTCGCTTTAGAAGCTGGACAGGAGTCCCCTGCTCCGGAGTAATTTACACTTGGCAACCCTAGGAGACATTAAGAGGTGGTTTATCATTGCTTGCCTCCGTATCATGACTCTGGTATTCCTTGATGACCTTGTTTTCAAATACTGACCAGAGACGACCCTGCTTAGCTTCCGAGATCTCAAGGCAAGATGTTCAAGGGTGGTTTGTCATTGTCCGCCTCTGCGTCATGACTCAGGTATTCTTTGGCAGTCTTCCTTTCAAATACTGGCTAGGGACGACCCTGCTTCGCTTCCGAGATCTGATGAGATCGGGCTAGCCTGGGTTATCCAGGTTTATATGGCCATGGTCAAAGCAGCTAATCATCGACTTTTTTTAGCACAAAATCTCACTATTAAGTTCATACCAAACACTGCCTGGAATTCGTACTTTTGTTCTTGTTTTCTATTCCAGTAAAAAAAATAGTTAGCATACTTATTGATTCCTTTTTTCCGGGGTATTTTTTATATGTGTGTGTGAGAGAGGGGGGGTGCACCTGGAAGTCATGGTGACCTCTGGTGACTGACCCCTACTTAGGGTTGCCAATCCTCACTTGGGGGCAGGGGATCCCCCAGTTTGGAGGCCCTCCTCCCGCTTCAAGGCTATCAGAAAGCAGGGAGGGAAATAGCTGCTGAGCACTCCATTATACCCTATGGGGACCGGTCCCCATAGGGTGTAATGGAGAATCAAGCCATGAGTATCTAGGGCTCTGGGGGAGCTGTTTTTTTCAGTTAGAGGCACCAGATTTTCAGCATAGCGGCCTGGAGGATATTCAGAGACGTGGCTGAATAAAGCCTGCCCCTGTCCTCCCAGCTACTGCGATTCCTCGGAGGCCTCAAATTCAAGTACTTGCCAGAACTGACCCTGCTCAGCTTCCAAGATCTGACAAGATTGGGCTTGCCTGGGCTATCCAGGTCAGGGCCACAATTATTGATTCAAGAACCAAAAAGGTAAGGAAAAAAACCTGGTGGAGAGCCAATAGTTAAAACCTCATATAAACTTATTATAAGTAAAAAAAAAGTATTTATTTTGAGAAAAGTTAAAAAAACATATAGCCTCATTAGCAATTACAAATGACAAGTACACAAGGAGCAGTTATTGTGACCTAACGTGCTTCGGCCCAATCAGGCCTTCTTCAGATGTCAAATAATATGAGGTACATATAAGCTCATGTTACAAAGAAATGTCAATAGTGGACCAAAAAAGGAATGCTGTTAAAAAGACAGAAAGAAATGGGTTTTAGATGTTATAAAATGTAATATGATGAATTTTGCTTATAATATGGTTGTAAACCCCTATGTTACAAAATGAAATGAATAGACACAGGGCAGGAATGTTTATGAAGCCTCTTAAGATTAAATCTTCTGTCCAGTGAATACGCACAGGTGGTAAATGGTGTTACTTTTGAGAGTTCCGGCAACTCTTTTTCCAAACCCCCACCTGACTTTATGTAGCAGATTGTGCTGCCTGAACTAGGTACAGATCTAAGAATAACTGATTATACTCTCAGAGATGCAATCTATACACCTGATTATACTCTCAGAGCTGCAATCTTGCCTAACTGAACCAGCACAAATGCAGCTATTGACCAACAACCACTCTAAATACAAATGGCACCACTGGACATTACTCAGTGTTAACACAAACTTCACCTCTACTAACCTGGTTGCAGAATGGTTCTCTATCAAATACCAGGCGGCAGAAAAATTTTCACTGGTAAAATCGGCACTCATGCCAGGAAACAGAGCTTCCAGTTCCTTTGGAGGAAACCTTCCCCTGAAAGAAGAACAAAACCCGCATATGAGTAATTTATGAAAACAAAGGCTACAAAGTGCTGGATCTACACATCGCGCTATCATAATAATGTACCTCCTTGATTTTCCTGCGCGAACAAGACAAACAGAGTGATTACAACAGAGCAGTATCCAATGAGGTGTAGATCCAGCCAGAAGCAAAGGTGCTCACACTCTCATGCTGTCACAAAACAAACACCCAACCCCCCCATCCCAGCCATTTAAGTAGGGTTGCCAACCTCCAGGCAGGACCGGGGGATCTCCTGGAATTAGATCTGACCCAAGCCTGTAGCCACCGTAAGGCATTTGGGGGCAGAGCCCCACCACAGATGAGCCCTGCCCCACCCCAGGAGATGCCAAGCCCCCAGGCCCCCCATCTTGGTGAACCGTGCCCCTCAGCCTGACGGTGTTTAAAGTGGTGTTTAAAGTCGTAATAAGCAGAGCACACCTGCCTTGGTGCAGAGTATGTACAGTTTATTATACAAATATTTACACAGTCCACAGGAACTCAGCATTCGGCTGTTAGACCGACAAACTGCTTCGCCAGGCAATAGTAACCACATAGGCAGTCGTAGTGAACATAACTGTACACAATATTTATTTATTTATTTACTTATTATTAGATTTATACCCTGCCCTCCCCCACGGGCTCAGGGCGGCTACAACAGAGGCAATTGCCATAACGACTAAAACAACATCAAAACAATCATTAAACAGTATAAAACAGTCATTAAGTGCGGTGCTCTTGATGTACAGGTATACAACCAATCACAGTACAGTACATTACAAATGCCGAGTCATAGTGACTCCTTGAAAGCTGATGCAATTGGCTGTCGTGTGACCTCAGAACTGTCAAGTTAGATCGTACCGGTCTCAGTGACTGCTGTCATCTTGAATGGCATCACTCTGTATATGCCAACACACCCCTGGCCCCTCCCTGCTCTTCCAGGGAAGCCCCCCCCTTCTGGTCAGTTTCACTCCCCACCTAATAGCTGATCCCTGGGGAGTGAAACTGACCAGAAGCAGCAGAGCAGCTTCCTTTTCTTAAACACTTGAGCCAACGCAGCTCAATCTGCTTGAAGTACCTTGCTGGAAGTAAATAGTCTCAGAAGGGTGTACACACTTTGGCAAGGAGTTCTACCCCTCCCCTCCTTCTGCCGTATTGGAAGGTTGGTATAAGAAGATCCCCTACTCTGAAAGGCTGTGCACATGTCCATTAAAAGAGACTGAATCCACAGAGCATGTGATTTTTAGCTGCCTATATTATAAGGCGACTCGTGAGGAGATCATTACTCTATTATTGGATAGGATTCTTGGTTTTAATAAAAAAGCGTACACACTTTGGCAAGGAGTTCTACCCCTTCTTTCTGCCATACTGGAAGGTAGGTATAAGAAGATCCCCTACTCTGAAAGGCTGCGCACATGTCCATTAAAAGAGATCGAATCCACAGAGCATGTGTTTTTTAGCTGCCCGTATTATAAGGCGACTTGTGAGGAGATCATTACTCCATTATTGGATAGGATTCTCGGTTTTAATAAAAAAGCGAAGCTTGATTAGCATTTATGTGATGAGAACCCTAGGATTACGTACCAAGTAGCCAAATTCTGTGTGTTAATACTTAGGCTATGCAAATTGTATCATAACCAGGTTTAAGTTTTATTAGATGATGTTTTATCCTATAAATGTTTATTGTATAAACTGTAAAACTGTTTATATGTTTGGTCAAATGACCGCAACAATAAACAACTAAACTGATTACGTAGAAGAGGATCTCGTGTTGCAACCGAAATGTAGGAACTGGACCGAAGCCTTAGTGCATGCCGAACCATTCCTCACTCCCCTGATCTAGGTTTCCCTTTATTTTCTTTCTTCCTGGGGGGAAAACCCTGACCAGTAGCTTGTTTTTATTGTAAGAAAGAACACAGTAAGGAGTCCAAAGAACAAGGTAAGCTAACAGCGTTTTAGAAGTCACAAGGAAAAGAAGACAGGGCTTTAACTTCAGAGTTAAGAGCAGCCCAGCAGTGAGAGATGGTCGAAATGTAGGAACTGGACCGAAGCCTTAGTGCATGCCGAACCATTCCTCACTCCCCTGATCTAGGTTTCCCTTTATTTTCTTTCTTCCTGGGGGGAAAACCCTGACCAGTAGCTTGCTTTTATTGTAAGCAAGAACACAGTAAGGAGTCCAAAGAACAAGGTAAGCTAACAGCGTTATAGAAGTCACAAGGAAAAGAAGACAGGCCTTTAACTTCGGAGTTAAGAGCAGCCCAGCAGTGAGGGATGGGAATAATGTTTCCTTGACTCATGTTACCACTGGGAAACAAACAAGCTGGTTGCCCAAGTTCTGATGTTTTAGTAGAAACCTGTGTACTTATGGGCAATTCACACAAGAATGATCTGCAAAATCAATACCTTAAATAGTGTACGCGTGTGGGGAGGGGGGGGTTAAGCAGACACTGAACACATATTTGTAGGCCACAATTCAAACACAATTCCCAATGTGAGGGGGCCATGCTAGAAGGCGTACAATCAGTGTTCCTTCTAAGCTGCGTACCTGAGCGGCCGCTCATTAACACAGGAAGCCCCGCTCAGCAGCAATCTGGACACCTGCAGGGTCTTGCACTGCCCATTGCCCATTTTAAGATTACACCGGTTATATTCTGCTGAGGATGTGAACTGCTCTGCTCAGTAGGGAAAAAAAATTAGAAGGAACATTGGGTACAATTGTGATCCTTTACTGTGCATTGCCTCTACACCCTTCTCCAAGCTGTTTTGGACACAACAATTTGAACCTCCTGATTGCTGGAGCCACCCAAATACTGCTGACCAAGAGGTCTGCAACACACACCCCATTTACTCCACAGTTTCTTATTCTACAACACATAGTAAAGACGACTTACAAGTATTATAGGCATGTTAAGAAGCAAAACAGCTGTGTGGTAAATGTGCATGTATATGAATATTGATCTTTCAATCCTTAAAAAAGTTAGACACATTGATGTTTCTTGCTCTTTTCGTCTTTCTATGAGAATGAATAATATATGTAATATTATACAATGAACAGATGTATATTAAACTCTAAATAAAACTTAAAAAAATAATAAAAAAAAGAGAATGAATAATACAAAAGTGTCAAGCAAACAATCACAAACTCTTTGGCTATTGTGTAAATATCATTGGTTTAAAGTTATGCGTTAAGGATGATGATGATGATGATGATGATGATAATGATAATGAGTGCTTCTTCTATCAAAGGTTTGAGAGCCTTGGCTGTAACATATTTAACTTTGGACACGCAACACAAGGAACAAATAGCAGAGGTTAGATAGCAAGAAACCAGAAATATGATAAATCCATAAGACTAGACTGGCCAAAATAGGCTGAACAGTATATACATTTATATGCAGAACAATGTCTGTAATAGGAATGTCTACCTTCCAAACCCCTCATGCCTTCTTATGGAGCCACAACTGGCTAATGCAAACATCAGCTAGTGGAGTTCCTCCTTGCTAAGGAGTCAGAATTTGCATATGCTTTGCATTTTACCATCTGTTTTATGAATTTTGCACGAGGGTACAAAACACAAGAATCCTTTATCAAGTCTGAAGGGCTCTTAAAAAGTGGCTTTTAAAGAAAATGGAGGCCAAGATACTTAGGAAACTTGACTTTTTGCCCATTATCAATTTCAGTGCTTACAAAGGGCCAGTCTTAGAAGACACACATCTCTGAAAAAGCACACTAAAGAGAAATTATGAGTAATCAATATAAGATGACAACAGGACCGACAGCATTGGATAAATTTCCATTAATATAAACAAAACAGTGTTATAGTAGTTGGCTTGATAATCAAAGCCTCGCTCGTCAGATTGACTGGACCAGAGACAACTGGCTCCACTCACATAACGTTGTTTTTATTACATTCCGTTGGCAAATTAATTCCCAGGGACTGACTTACTATCTCAAGCATCGCAGGCTGACTGTAACAGTACCAATAGAGAGGTTAGGAAGTCTGTTGTCATAGTTGAGTGGTGAAAGCAGCCATACTGGATGGCAAACGTCAGCCAGTAACCAGAGACTATGCTGACAATCCTGGAAAATGCCAAGGGCTGTTATATATCTAATTTATCATAAAAGCAAAATAAAAGTGTCATAGCAGGAAAAATTACCTTCAAATGCTTTTCTTTTTTGGCAGCCTTCACTGGCAAGAGTGTGGGGGGCGGTGGCTTTGCACTTTTGGCAAGCTGGCATACGCAGAGTTTACTAATAGCCAGTTCAGACATGCACGCAACCTATCACTCGATTATTCAGTGCACGTTGTATGAACACCCAACACCGTGGCTGGGCTGATGGGACAGGACGTGAAAGTCCTGCAGGTGACACTTTTGGTCCCCAAGTGCCCATTCACGTGTTGAAGTCACCAACTGATGCCGCATTCATCGAGTGCTGAGCATTCGTATGAGATCCAGCTCCCTGCCCCTCCATTGAAAACCATATTCTGAAGGTGTGAGAAACGGCTGCGAAAGGGAACAGAAGCCATGTTCCCCTTCATTTAAGAGGCCCCCCCACCAGCGTTTCATTGCTCCCCTTTGATACTAACCTGCCTTAATCGGAATCGGGACTGAGGGTTGGGGGGGGGGACACTTGGTTCCTGAAAACTGCAGGCCAAGAGCTCCAAGCCCTCCCTCTGGGATCGTCATGCAATCCAGACATGTGCGACTGCAGGATGGCCCCAGAGAGACGGGGATGCACAAGCGGACGGGGGGCGGTGCTTCCGAAAAACTCTGAAACCGACTCATTCCCCACGGAGGCTGCCCCCTCTGGGGCTCCGTGGCTGGGGCTCACCTGGTGCGGGTAGAGGGACATGCTGCCAAAGCCACCAGTGCCCAGTGGGCCCCACTGTGGCCCTGCTGGGCGGTCCGCCCATCACCCTTGGGAGATGCGGGAGCAGCTGGGCACCGGTGGCTTCAGCAACATCTCCCTCTACC